AAATATAAAGTAATTGCAAAGTCCCGAATCGCACTTATTGATTAACAAAGCTTATCAACTAATTACGAGGCAAAGCATAGCATATTTGAACAGCCAAAGTTAGCGCTTAAGATAACAGTCGTAGCCGTACTCACTCGCCCTGATACGTATAAGTGGGTCAATGGCCAAACATCGAATAATCCTCGAGAAATATCTCAGATTTTTTTGGATATTCCCACCCATAATAAGTTTAGGTTAATATCGGCTCTTCCCCGCCTCATACATCGAATCCAGCTACTTAAATTGATTACACCCCCCCCTCCCTTCATTAGAACGGGGGTAGCAGGGTAGCGGAACAAGATGGAATACATCGTAGAGAGTCATGTTACCACCGCACTTTGCTTTATCGTTTTCTATGCTCATTATATTGTAATATACCATCGCGCCCCTTAAAATTGTAACATTGTAAATTAAAATGTACATTGTGGCGATATTGTACAGTTGATGCTTTTATTGCGAATATAGACACTATAAAATGATAACAATAGTGATTGTAATGTGTTAGTAGTGATAATACATTGTATGATGTTATGCCGTGTGAAATCGCTCGTGCCACAAGCGTGTCTTATCACCTTTTGCATTAATAAATATTGTTAAATTCAAATTCACCCCCACCCTTTCACTCCCTCATTCGCCCTTGTCGAATAATTGATAACCACGCACACCTGTAAATTATTCCCTATCTCCTTCTCAAACAAGAGCAACAAACCCTCTGCTACTCATCTCCGATGATGAAGCTTATTTAAAATGCATTAAAAAGCGCACACCTGTACCGTCGCGGGCCAAAAGAAACGCACTCGCGCGAGCAGACACACGTAATGCGATGGAAGCTCCAGAGAGCACCAGAGGCGCTTCTCTAATCTCGCAATTTGCACAGCAAGCAACTCCTGCGTGTACACGTATATACCAGGAGGAGGGGGGGGGCACATCAGGGCTCTCAAAGCCAAAGCAGTCCACGTCAGAGTTGCGCGGGTGAAATTGAAACGTCGCCGGAGCAGCCGTAATTCACACGTCGAATTACAAAACCCAGGGCGAGCAGTCAGTCACTCGACCGGCCAGTCAGTTGGTTAGCACATCGTGTGGCGTTTCGCTGGAAAAAACACTACGGGCGACAAAGGCGGATTTGCACCTTTTGTAATCAACGATGTACGCGTGTGAATATTTCAACGGAGTGACACGCGCGCGCGGGTGTGCGGATATCAACGGATTTTTTTTTTGTCGCTCCTCAAGTCTTATTCGTTGCCGAAGGGACGGGCGTGCGATTGTCGCTTCGAATGCAGATTCTTTTGTGCTCTGCCGAATAGGTGCCATTAATTGCCCCCTGCGCTGACGCCCAAGTCTCGCTGTTTTTCTCGCTTTTCGATGATGGAGATCCATCGGGAGATGGACGACTTTGGCCTTTGTACCTACATGGGCTATTTTTCTTTCACTGTTGTCGATAGCAAAAGACGCGGATGGATTTACATGTAACTGCAGTTGTTCAATCGCGAGGCTCTGGATTTGCAAAAATATTCGGCAGCTCCATCAGGGCTTGTAATTACACTCAATTCTCTTTCGGACTGACTTTTCAAAATTCAAATCCGATCGACCCTTTGATGAAAATTCGGGATTTTGCCATTTTCAATGCAAAAAGCTTTGTAAATTTTCAATTTCTATTGTATAGTAAAATGGCATACTACATACGAACACAATGACCGTAGACTCCGAAAAATCTAAGGATTTCAAGAGTAAACAGAGCATGATAATAAGATTAGTTGAATTAACCCGATTGCCATCCAAACGAAATATTACAAATGGCAATTTCAAATCGACCCCGACAGCACACACCATCGATAAGCATACATTATCTATAAATCGTTAAAAGGTTAGCATAACGTGCAGGTAAAGGCATTATTTACTGATATCCCCGGGGGTAATATCACAGGTGCCCGGTTAACGAGTTCAATCAGTTGTTAGGAGGCGTGGGATCGCCTATTAGGGGCGGGGGGAGCAGAGCCTCCGCTGTGGCAAACGCTCCAGGGGCAAATTAAGGGTAGCGGCGAGGCCTCCGACCGGTATTTAAAGTCATCGTGGATGAAATTCAATCACGAAACTCATCGGGTGCACGCGCGCGGCGAATCTATATTATCGGCCCCCCTGATATTTTTTTAATGTCGAATCGAAATCAATTGCTCGTCATCTCAGCGTTTGCTAATAAATACTCGACAAGTAGGACGAAAATTCCAACCCTCCGAAAATGACACGTGCGAGTGAGTGCGAAACACGCGTAAGCTGGCTCTCGGGCTTGAAAAAATCTTGCGGATAACAAAAGAAAGAGGATCGGGTTACTTTGGCGCGACCGCACAATATTCCCAAGGTGGTGTATCTCACGTGCGTGCGCGGAAAATTCCACGCAGCAGTTCGCCCGAGGTCGGATCAGGAAGGGTGTGCCGCGCGAAACTTTATGCACACAGTAGGACGCCGAGGGGGCTTTCCGGGCTCTTCCTCGTCTTCGCTATCCCATTGCAGCCACGAGATTCAAAGTTTCGGGCAGTTCGCGCTGCATGCGAATTTTTTCTCCCCCCCCCCTCCATTCTTTCGCGAGGGTCCCCGCTTTGAGGGTGTACGGCCGAAGGGGATGACTGGACCGGATGAGCATAAAACAAACTGGGCGTGGAAAAGTTCATAACTCGGTGCAGAGAGCTCGTCAAAGAGACGCAACTCGAGATGCTCGCTTTTTTTCATGATATCCATCGTCGTTTGTCTTTTTCGGTGTTTTCGAGGATTTCGCACTTCGAATCACTGCTTTGGCTCTGTGTCAGCGTTGAACGATATACATTCATCTTTTTTCGCGCTTCCGAATCGCTGGATGATATTGGTGCCTTGACGAAGGAAAAATTGCTCCCAACTGACATGTATCTTTACTTACTGAAGGAGTTTTTTTTATCAAAGCAGCTTCGCTAAATAGCTTCCTAATTGATCGGATGAAAGGGTTGATCCGATCAGGATCAGTCCTTTGAATTTTTGAGACCCAATCAGCCCGAGAAATAATCTCGCGATCCCGAAACAAATTAATTAATCGAACGGTGTACATCCCCGAGCCGATATTTTTTTCTCTCGATGCCTCTATCTTCAGGGAAGAACAAAAAGAAAATAAAAAAGGTTAAGCGGAACCTCGTCGGTGTACAATTGTAACGCCAGTCATGCTCGGTGTTTTTTGTGCTGGGGAATTTTCTCAAAGAAAGATGCAAAAGGAAAAGACAGCGTCGCAGGGAGTCCCGATGAATTATTCATCCAAGGGCTCGGGGTATCATTAGCCACCGGAATATTAATGAGCAAGTGGTGTCTACAAATTTATTGCACACGCCACTGAATTTCAACGCACCGCAAAATAATTCGATACAAATGGAGCAGAACGAAATACCGTGTCTCATGCTTTTCAACAACAATAAATGCAAGGAAAAAAAAAACCACCCCTTATCGCTCATAAATGCCGGAGTTGTCGTTGCAGCCTATAGCAGGTAAGCGCTGGTATGAATGGTAAGATTGTTTTCATGGCAAACCGACTAATCGGCCATTTAACGCTGCCAAGCAACCACGTTATCCGTTACCAAAATAATGCAACAAACAATAAACGGACAATAATACAACGAGAGACTCGCGATAGGGTAAATGTAAAAGTGAAAAATTGCGAGTGAAGTGAGGATGATGTATACACCTCCACGTGCCCCTATTCATGATGCGTATAACTTTATTCGTGTCACATATTATAATGCAAGCGGAATACCAAGTAGTATGGTGGTTTGCAACCGTGCTCCGCTACACAAGCACAACAGTCCGTATCTTTTTATGAAACGCGCGTGCAGTATTGCGGACTCCCCGGCTATTGTCTTAACACGATAGAGCCCGTGTCTCGGTTCGCGTGGCGGAAAATTCCATCAGTTTTAATGCAAACTGATTTCGCGCGTACACTGCAAGGCGTATAACAGACAATCGTGGCCTTTTTTCCGTTGAGTCGCTCGAAACCATCGGCATGATAATACACGCAGTGGAGCGCAGGGGAGGGGTACGCCCGTAAAATATGTACCAGTGGATCAGTTCCTATACACATGCGTGTACCAGCTATCTATTAACTTTTTTTTTCGCCCGCGCGCGGTACATATATCAGAGCAGCCATTATTTTTAGCGAAAAAAATTAACGCCGTGTATTCTTTTAATTAAAAATCCCCCCGTACGGTCTCGTCGTAAAAATACACGAAGCTGGCTATACAAGAAAAATTGAATTTCCCTGGATAACGAAACAAAAAAAAAAAAAAGTAGTGGGATAAAGGCACCGTAGCTTTTAGGAACACGCGATAAAAGGCCGGTGTTGTCGATCGAGAGTACACTTGTTGCGAGGGCAGGATAAAAAATTTTCACGCTCGAAAGGGGGAAAACTCGAGCCAGTTCGAAAAAAGCGTCAGCCCCATTTTGCAAGCGGCGCTTGTAAATCAGGAGCGAGGGGAAACAAAAAAAAAAAAAAAGCCTGGACGCCTGATAGAGGAGTGAAATGGGGCGTAGGTCGCACGGGAGGGGGCAAAGTCACGCTGCGTCCTGATACACTTTTGATGGATCGTGGGCGCGCGTCGCTCGGCCATTATATATCCTTAACAAGCGCACATGATGTATCAAACGCTCCGACCCAGTTTCTGACAAAAAAAAAAAAAAAAAAAAAAAAAAACAGTGCAAAAAAGGCCAGCCCCCTAATACTTTTCGCACGTAACACTTGCTAAAAGAAAAAAAAACGGGTAATCGAAACAAGATCGCACAAACGAGCGCGACTCTTGTCCCGATTGAGATAAAAAGAAGAAAGAAAAAAAAAGTCAATTGTCGTTTTTGCTGCTATTAACCTTCAAGCCACGAAAAAACCAGTCAAACGGGCCTCAATCCTAATGTCCTTCGTCCTCGAACATCGCGCCCTTCGGCGACGACACCGTCATCACCTTATTTTCTTCGGCCCTGCGTCCGACCAAAGCTCGACTCGTACCACTCGAGCGGCTCCCAAGGCGAAAAACAACAACAATTCTCCTATTACGGGGCACACACCTCGTCACCGCACACACTCGATAAACAACAACCTCAACTTTCCCGTCCAACTTGAAAATCAACTCCCAATTGGCTCGTGTCGCCCCCCTGTCACGCTCCCTCCACGCATCGCATACTAACGCGCGCGCGGCAGAACATTCACCAGTGTAAGTATACCAGCAACAGAAGTTGTAGTTGCGAGACGGAAGGACTCGCGGTGTCCCGCGGCGCGAGAAGAACTGCCTGCCAGCACAGTCCGCTCGGCTCCGAGAGTCGTCTGCCGCGCGCATACGCAGAGAGAGAGGTGGTAGTGGGGCTCTCTGTGCCGGGCAGCTCCGAGGAAAGAGAGCCACAGGAAAGGGAAAATGAAAAATGGAAACAGCCACCTATACGTATATGCACGCGTGCTGTATGGAGAAAAACGAGAGTAGAGAACCAGGTGTATGTATATAGAGGGAGGCCGGATCGGGGTGAAAGGTGGATGAGATTAAATTGTGCTTAGATTAGGGGTGACAGTCGGACACCCCGGCCTGATGGGCAAAGGGATATATATACATGCCATTACCCGCTCTATTGGACTCTCTGGTCTCTTCTGTTCTCCAATGGTCTTGCGAAAGATCAAACAACTTCCTTCGCTACTTCACAAGCACTCTGGTGCGTTAAAATGATATTATTCTTCCTGATGATGAGCGTATTTTTAACTTTCAATGATTTATTCATCCATAAATCGGATATGAGCTTCCGTCGATTACGATTACTCGGCCAAAGTCAAGTTTTGTTTTAATACCTGATTAACATTAGATTGAGCTTCGTTCCATCTTTTACTGCGCTCGAATGGTTCGAGCTCGAAAAATTTACCTCATTTTACATTCATCGACTTGATTATGATGAAAGAGCCCGTCGAGTGCCAATCAAGGCAATTCGCTGAGAGCTCGAGGGGTGACGTGCATGCAATTCAGAGTGAAAAAACGGAAAACAAGAGGAAGGGGGGGGGGGTGGGAGAACAAGGGCGGCTCGAATGAAAAGCGAGATACACGTGAAAAAATAAAAGAGCGTCCGGTACAATCGATGACAGGGGGGAAAGCACAAACATACGTGGGGGCGCCGCGAGAAATTTGACGAAACTATAGAGATGGGAGATTCCCTGGGATCGACACTAGCGTTGGAGGGAGGGGGGAAAAAACAAATTCCATCCGATCCCTGGTCAAAATGAATTCGAATGGCTTGTCGCGAGCGAAAATCCAACCCCAGAGGGGTTCATGGGGTATATGACAGGGGCGGAATATTTTTCGAAAAGTTCAAGGAGATGCGTACGTTTGCTCGCGAAGGTGGATTGACAATCGAGTCCCATGTCTGGGGAAAATGGCGCAAGGAAAACACGAGTGGAAAACAAATATCTCCGCGCGAGGTATCGAAGGGGATTGATCGCTCCCGTGGCTCGCATACACGATCCGCAAAAGTTTGGTTCCACTTTTCTTGTTTTGCTCCTCTTCTTTTTCTTTGATTTGATCAAACATACGCTTATTATTCCCGCGAATAATGCGGTATAGAGATTTTTCAATTTTCCGAGCGATATACATATACGCGTATCGCTGGTGGGGAAATTGAAAAAGAAACTGACGGGCAGTCGAGGAAAATTCAAAGGAAGCGAGGGGTCGGATGCGAGAGACACCTTTCTCTCTCCCGTGAAAGACAACTGCAGAGGGAGTTTGCGAAAAAATTCAAACAGTCTCGAGCCGGGGGGGGGGTGAATTTCAGGGTAGTCACGTCACTCCTCGCGCGATTGCAGCCCAAGGAGGACGGCTATTTACGGAAACACCCGGAGAAGCGCAAACTTGGAGTAACAGCTCGCAGCGACGTGCGGACCAAATCAACGGGGTTGAGTGTACGGACTAAAGGCGAAATAAAGAGGGTGTTGAGCCAAGGGTAGGGGGGGAGGGCTGCAGAGTTGCACCAGAGCCCGGGGAGTAGCTTTAGAAAGATTTAAAATTTTCGCCGATCCACCCGAGGGTGGTGCCATACAAACGAGTGGCCCGTTCCCTTTGGCACGAGGGGACGCATCGAGTCGATCGGGAGGAAAACAAGCGGAAGGAGGGAATCACTTGATCGAAGCTCTCGAACAATGAAATTTGCAAAAAGCCAAATGGAATCGGGAAATCGAGCACAACGAGCTGCCGCGAGTCTTTCTCTCCGAGGGATCGAGGGGAAAAAAAAAGGGGAAAAAGGGGACTCGTTGGAGGGAATCGAAAGAAGCATCAGCAAAGCAGCGACAAAGAGAATCCGCAAAAGGGCTAAAATGAGAGAGAAGTTGCACACGTTAGCTCGGAAACGACTGTGGAATTCGATCGAGGACGTATAGGAAAGAAAGAAAAAAAAAGCAACAGAGGGAATGGAAAAGAAAGCGTGCACGAAGGGGGGGGGGTGGGATCGACAAAAACAGTCTCGGAGCGTGTACAGGAGCAAGTAGCTTGGCTTCTCAAAGAGAATAAAGAAAGAGAGAGACGTTCGTTCCACTATGTTCTCCGATGCCCGCGATTAGACTTGCACTCACGGTACAGCTCCTGTTGTTGCACCCCATGAATGGGCAACAAATTTTTTTGCCCCATTTCTCTACCAACATATACATGGATGCTCTCGGTGCGTCGAGAAGATAACGCACGAGTGCATTGGCGGGTGTCTTTTTGCCGCACTTTGAATTCGGGGGCTGAAAGGCGGATCGAGGGGAAGATAGTCGGGAGGGATGTTCGCTGGCTGAGAGGAGGGTTTCCGTAAGGCAAACGCGTACTTTTCGGGAGGAATGCGTTGGCTGTTTCCTCCCTTTTTTTTTTTTTTTTTTTTTTTTCCACCAAACGCGTGATCTTACCACGAAAAACCAAAACTAGAGTGCTACTTTAATTACGCACAGCAATATGCAATCNTTTGCACGCGTGAGGAAACTCGTATCTTACACATGCTGTTACCGTGTAGCTCGCGGGAACGTAAAAACTATTTAGAAAAAAAAAAAAAAAAAAAATAAGTGCAACAGACTGAGGCCAGTTTTTTTTTTTTTTTTTTTGCAAGATAAATGCACGTACGAGTGCATACGAGCGCCCGGGATCGATAAAGTCGAAACTATTTGTAGCTGTACCGTGAGTTTGCACGCGTGAGGAAACTCGTATCTTACACATGCTGTTACCGTGTAGCTCGCGGGAACGTAAAAACTATTTAGAAAAAAAAAAAAAAAAAAAACCTCGATGAATGCAACAGACTGAGGCCAGTTAGTAACGTGTGCAGTATGCCTTGGAGGGTGTGTACGTACCCCGCGCCATTGTAGATTGGGGGCAGAGGTGGTGGTTATTTATTTATATGATGTTTAAATTACTAGACTTGCTCCTGGGTGCACACAAGTAAACTCCCAGTCTGCGTGCACGTATATATAGTGTGTACACCACGTATACAGTTGGCCAATCCCTTTGCTTTCGACCGACAAATATTTAGCTTGCACTAAACACAGGGGCAAGTACGTGCGCGCGGCGATATGCATTGCGTTATCCTCCTTGTAACGTAAGTACACAAAGTGCAAATATAACCGGAACCAAATTAACTTGGTTCATTTGAAACCAGTTTATTCGTTAATTTTGTACGCGTATTCCGTGAAAGTATACTACGTTACGAGTCAAGTATTGTGCGATGAAAAGCGTACCAAGTTACATGGACCACGCATGCAAAAGCTCGTTTTATCACATCAGTGCAGGCGAATGTATGTACCTCCCACCAACAGACTTCAGTAATTGGTAACTTTATAGCTACTTTTACGCAGCATATAATGCTACGAAATGTGCACAAAGCTTTGAAAAATCAATCAAGCCAAAGTTCATATAGCGAGAGTATAGGTGCCTATAATGAGAGATGAAACTTTAACGACGGCGCGTTGCATCTTTTGTGCTATGTGCCTCCGTGACAAACTTTGGCTCGAGATTGATTCCTCAAAGTACACCGGGTTTTCTGCTCCTCTTCTCATTACTTAAAGTAGCTACAAAGTTACTAATTAACGAATACGCGTGTATTGAGATCGACACGTCCCGTTAAAACGCCGGAAAAATTCGTATTTGTAGTGGAAGCAATAATAATAAGCGCGTAAGCGCGAAAATGACCTAATTAAAAAGATAAAAGATGAAAAAGAATTATCTCTCCGAATTTTCATACAGTCTCGAATGACGGTGCACACGTGAAGGTAATCCAGCGAGCATCAACTAGCTGATCCACCGGAGCGAATCTCGGATTTCTCCTTCGTACCCGTGAAGAAAGAGCCAACGGAGAGAAAACGAGCGACAGAGGAGGAAGCCCAGTTGCACCGGGGGAGGGCGTCAGAAATCGGCGTTGCGCGTCACCCTATTTGGATTTGATTAAGGCTCCGGCCGATCGATCCGCTGCGCCGCTTTGCACGCGCTCGAATGAAACGTTAAAGCCTCGTCCCGTGTACACCTCCAGGGAAGCCGCCCGTATTCCACCTACGACCGCACGTATAGGCACCGGCCCGGGGATCGATTCGCCCGCCAATTAGGATCAATCATCTCGATAAATACAGCCCGGCCGAAGCGCCTGGGATTGCCGGGTGTTGTACAAGTACGCAGCCAATGCTCGAGTTTAACTTTTTTCATTTTTCTTTTGTTTTTCAAATAGTATGTAGACTATATACACACGCCAAGGGCGTCTGATTTTGTTTTTTTTCTCTCCCATCGGCGGATGTAAATTTTTTTCATTAAAATTCAAATATCGGTGCGTGCCTCCGCGGCCGTTCGTCACGCAGGGGCTATTTGGCTCATGAATATAATCAAAACTGGATCTGGTTCCATTCCAAAGGAACAGTCTCGGCGTCAATGTTGGTGTATATTAATGTTAAATAAGACTCGACGGACGGGATATTTTCGCATGCTGATAAACAAACGAAAGGCGAACCACCGCTGTCGCAATCCATTAGTTTACCTGCGTATACTCCCCGAAAT